TGAGACAGGGTTTCTCTGTGTAGCCCTGGTTGTCCTGGAACTCACTCTGCAGACCAGGCTGGCCTTGTACTCAGAGATCCACCTGCCTCTGCCATTAGAGTGCTGGGATTAAAGGTGTGTGCCATCACCACCTAGTTTCTATAAAGACATTTCCATCAAGATACTGATTTACACTCCAGGGTTAAAGACTGGCTCCACTGTTAGAGGTCCCATAGACTGTCTTGGCCTCCTAGTTGGCACCCACATTCAGAGGGCTTGGTTCGGTCCAATGCTGTTTCCCCAGCTTTATGACTAGGGTCTCCATGCTCTCACTAGATTAGGTAAACTGTTTCTGCAGGTTTCTGTAGTACCGTCTTGGGAGTCCATTCCCTATGGAGGGATACTACTGTAGCCCAGAGGGCCTAGGCCCTCCCCCAAGTGATATGACAGACTTTGAAGGGCCCTGGTGGAGGGTCTCACTATCCCTGGGGATGGGTTGGGGGGGAACTTGGGAAGATGAGAGGGTGAGGGAATGGGGGAGATGGATATGTAAATATGGGTAGTAATTAAAGAATTTATATTAAGATACTAATTTACCTTTTCCTCCCTTAAATTCTTCAAATGCACCCAAACAAAACTAGCACACTCTGAAACTATGACATTGATGCTAAGACCAACAATAGAATGCAAAGACTGTGTTCATAGACTGATCTTGATCTTGACAGTTTAAAAAAGAAAAAAAGTAGAGCTCTGAGAAAAGGATTATAATCAGTCAACTAAGTAAATCCACTCATTTTAAGGGAGAGAGGGTGAGGCTCTTCCCTGTGTCAGGTATTGCATCAGCAGCTACAAAGCACACACAAATAAGCTTCCATCTTGCTTTAATTTTCACACTAGCTAAAAGTACAAGGATAATTTAAGCAAAGGAAATCTCTGACAGACTGGATCAAAAGTCTAATGGTATGCCCAGCAGACTTCAAGACTTTCCATGACAATTCAGTACCCACAACTCACTTTTTAAGATATAATACAATTACTTGAAGGATGAAGGATCTTTAGGTCAATTCTGATATTTCGACTTAGAATAATTATAAGTGATAGAGATGGCAATACTGCTACATTTTCAAATGGAAAAGAGCGACCACATCATATTTAAGCATACAAACCCTAAGGACTAGACTGTCCCTCTGTGGGACCACAGCTTCGCAAATCATGTGTGCACACTCCGGAAACACCAAAAGGACTCTATTCACAAAGTAAGGAAGCAGCTAACTGTTGCTTTCCTTTTTCATGACTACTGAATTACAGTCAGATGGCACTTAGGTGATAGTTTTTAATCAAAAGAAAACTACAGAGGGAGTGACTAGAGTGAGGGTGGGGAAGAGGCAGAAAATAAGCTGACACATTGACTTTCTACAAACCCAGATGCCACCCCTTGGCAGATGACAGCTTCTATGATAAGATGAGGTGACATGGCCAGCAGAAAGAAAGTGCTGTGGACTCTGTCTAACCAGCTCAACAAGTTATTTCCCACCCGCCAGCCCCGCCCCACCTCGCCCTCAACGTTCAGGTTGGTTTCACCTGCTGTCTAAACACTGCACAGTGCACAGCCAACCCCACCTCCAGGGCTCATGGGAGAGTAGCAGGAGCCCATAAAGGGGCATCAAATAACAGAGCTGCTTCAGGCCCAACCCCCCCCCCCCCCCCCCTGCCAGTACCTGCTGAAGCATCTCTTCGGCAGCATTGAGTTTCACCTGGTGTCCTTCCAGACACACTTCAAGGTCCCGAATCTTCTCTCCTTGGGCTTCCACTTGGTCTGTGAGGACACTCACCTGTTGTAGAACAAACAATAGTGGAGGATCTGGACTGTGTGTCAGGCAAGGAAGTCCCGACTGTGGGGTGGGGGAGCTGTGATGAAGGCCTCTCTTTAGGTGAGTGAGTTGAGGAAGTAAGTATCCCAGAGGAAGGCAACTCGAGTTAGAATCTCTCCTTACCAGGGAATCTTAGGCACTGCCTAAATGCCTTGGTCACATTTCCTGCTCTTGAGAGACTTGAGAGGAAAGCACCTACCCTAAGAGTCATGAGAGCTGCCTCTGGGCTGGACTCCTGCTTCTTATTCCTCTAATAGGGCAGCCCAACTTCAAGGCATATCTCAGCTCTTGCCAGGGCTCTGCCACCTCATGGGGAAGAGCAATCCAAACCTTTACGGAAACAACCAATGACCTTACCTCTCTCACAGGGGTGTGGGGACTGCTCACCTATCAAGTCAGTGCTTGGAAGTAATTAAGGAATGTGGGACGTAAAGGGCATGTATTAGCACTGACAAAACTTGGCTCCAGAAAGGTTTCTGTGCTTCACAGGCCAAAACATGACTCTAAGTCATACAAACACCAAAGCCACACTGCACACACATGGCAGAAAGCAGTCATTTTTTTTTTCTGAGGTTGTCTATGGAAATACTAAGAAGATACATTTACACAAGGTCATTTTAACTAAGCAATATATATATATATTGTTTTGGTAGCCTTCTCTATTAGCCAACTGACTCCTAGGATCCTTTCTATGTTTTCTTTATTATGAGATAGTTCCATACAAGAAGATGAAGAGAATGGGTGACCTTCCAAAACTGAAGGAATCAATGAAGAGTACATTGTGATCTTCTTGGAAGACATGGTGGTCCTTTATATATAGGTTATTCTAGTTAATTTACCATTCTGTGATGATTAATGAAGCATGAAGAAATTAATGTAAGTTCATTTATGAGTGTTTAAATGAATTTTATGAATTAGAAAGTTCCTATTCTCGAAGGCACATATTTAAATGAGCTTATAGACTTCACATATTGTACTTCTAGTATGCACTTCTCGTAATGAGTGAATGATTGAAACACTCTTGAAGCTGGTGCAGGGTGTGCTGACTTTCCAATAATCGAAAGATGGGCTCCTTCCAACAACTAGGCCCATTTAAACAACACATATGTGTGTGTTAGTGTTACTGCTAATATTTCTTATTATTATATGTATGGTTGTTTTGTCTGCATGTATGCCTGCATGTGTGTGTGCAGTGCCCATAGAGGACAAAAGAGGGTGTGGTGCTGGGAAATGAACCCAGGTCCTCCAGAAAAACAATCAGTGTTCTTCACTGCTGAGCCATCTCTCTAGTCACATGTTTTTATTTGTTTTTATCCTTGTTCCTGAATACTATCAGCAGCACTGGTCTTTTCAACTAGTAACTACACTTTCAAGAGAGTGGGATTCTGGGAAATGATTGTGCTTCCTGGGACTCAGGGCTTCTGTTTTGAGAAGGGCTTCTGTTTATGGTTGGAGCCACTACAAGAATTAAAATTTATAAAGCTGTACTGTACTTAGAGATTATGTGCTTGTGGGGGTTTGTGGAGTAGTACAGGTCACAGGCCACCTGTACAGAAGACCAAAGATAAAGGGATACAGGAGTCCCCAACCTCAGGTCAACTCTACTGTGACTCAGGAGGTATGGAAACTGACATAAAGATTTTAGAATTCTATCTTCATTCTGTAAGAGCAAATACTTTTGAGCTCTATATTAAACATAATTTTAGGTATTGGGAGAGGACAGAAACTAATCTTGTTCTTGTACAAATAGACCCAGGAAACTTATTCTGGGTCCAGGGATCTAAGTCATTCAGTCTGGCTCAACTGCAGTATAGATTATGCAAGAGGCTGTGCCCTGATGCAAATCACAGAACCAGCTCCACAGGCAACTACAAAACAGGGCAGAAGCAAGAAGTTACATGGTCTTCTCACAGCTCCTGGCAGAACAGAAACCATGAGGGTCAACTTTCACCAAACACAACGGCTCCCTAATTGTGTTTGAATTATTTAAATAGGGATTAGTCAAGAATTGGTAAGAACAGAAATGGCTGTGGAAGGGAGCATTATTAAATGGGGCTTCTTTATTAATTGTAATTCCCCTCTAAATAGCTATGTATTGTTTCAGTTTTGGAGGGTCCTACTTCGAAAGCTTGCAATTTTATACTGCTGGCTACACAATTCTAAATTGGACTGTCATTTCATGAATCATGTCTTGGGGATGAAGTTTCAAATTTGTACATTCTTCAAAGGACCTGTGCTATAAAAGCAGGCCCCTGCTACCCCTCCCAAGGGGGCTTCCACCCCTTCTTTCTAGGGACTTCAGCTACAACAGCCCCTTGTTGTTCTGTCCATACACTGAGGACACTTCATCTCTGTGGATGGGCAGGACTGACCAGCTCCTTTGACTGGAATGCACTCCTCCAGGTATCTATGATTCCTCCCCTGGCTTCCTCCTCCTGCCAAGGAGCTCCCTCCTTCCTGCACACTGCTTATCTGGATTTACTTTTCCCCATGGTACTTATCACTACCTGAAATATTTTAGGTACCAGTTCAGTTTCTCTCTCTCTCTCTCTCTCTCTCTCTCTCTCTCTCTCTCTCTCTCTTTCTCTCTCTTTCTCTCTCTCTCTGATACACCCACAGGATCTAAAACCAGTATCTGATAAATCAGATATGCAATTACTTTACAATGATTTAATTATTTAAAAAAGTCAATGAAGGGGCTGGAAAGATGGTTCAGTGGTTAAGAGAACTGGCTGCTTTTCCAGAGGACCCAGGTTCAATTCCCAGCATCTACACAACTGTTTGCAACTCCAGTTCCAGAAAATCTGACACCCTCACACAGTCATATGTGCAGGCAACATCCAGAGAGAGAGAGAGAGAGAGAGAGAGGGAGGAGGAAGGAAGGAAGGAAGGAAGGAAGGAAGGAAGGAAGGAAGGAAGGGAAGAAAGAAAAAAGAAAGGAAAAGAAGACAATGAAGCAAATAAAAGATTAAAACTAGGCCACAAAATTACATGTTTGATATGAGCTCAGTCTTTTAAAGGAGGTGAGAGACCCACAACCAAAGGATAGATATTAATCTAATCTACTTCTTGAAATTCTCAGAATTTCTAGTTTCTAAAAGAATTGATTAATCTTATGTTTATAAAACAAGAAATAAGCATACTGCCATCTCATTCACAATGCCTAGTACTCCAAATGAAGGGCCACACCTTGGGGCCAGACCCCAATTTCCCCCTTCTATCCCTCCTCCATTTCAGCACAAGACATTTTTGAGTTCAAAAGAGGGGGGGTAGGGGGGGTCTCATGTGGCTAGCCTCAAGCTAACTACGTAGTTTTGAATTTCTGGACCTCCTGTTTCCACCTCACAAACACAGGGATTACAGGTGTGCACCATTCCAGTGCACTGGTGATGGAATCCAGGGGCTTTGTTGGCAAGCACTCTAAAAACTGCATCCGTAGTTTCCATCATCAGACTTATTCATCATCCTTCAGAGATAGAGAAGCTGAAATTAGGACAGTTCATATGTGTTGCAGAACAGACCCTGAATACCTTCTTGCTAAGTGTGTTTGTGCATTTGAGAGATAACATAGCAAAAAGCTCCTGCTGTAGTGCAGGCTCCCTGAAAGAACACCCAATGTGATGTCCTACCAAAGAACACGGGATTTTGAAAGTGAGAGGCTGCTTTGGTGCCCTTTCTCTATGAGTAGTTTCAAAGCTCCACTCCTCTCATAGAACAAGAGAGCCAGCAAAAGCCTGGGCCTTGTTACCAGAGCAGGGGATCTGGCATCCAAGTGATCTGTCTGGATCCAGCTTCAGACTCCTGGACCGGATTCCATTAGCATGCTCCCTGAAGCCTGTGTCACTCAAGGTTCAGTTTTATTAGTGACAAAGGAAGCACTCATCTCCCTTAGAAGACTTACAGGCTCCCAGATGACTGGGTCCAGTTTGCTCATTGCTAGCACCCAGTCTGATCCTGCCCACAGGGCTTGTAGTGTTCAAAGAGAGATACTTGGCAGCACAAGATAAATGGAGGATTCACAGCCTAACAACACTTTCCAACAAAGGACTCCCCCTGAGCCTCCCTTTCCTGGGGAAACAATGGAGCAAGAGCACTCACCTGTAGTATGAGGGACTCTTTATCTCCTTCTAGCCGTGCCAGGCGTTCCTGGTAGGTTTCATTACTAGCAGCACTGTGGTGATTTACCTGGGACTGAAGAGGGGGGAAAAAGAACACACATAAGGGCTAGGAAAACACTTGCCCACTTCCAAATGCAGTACATAACATGTGACATTTATAAGGACAGTTTCGGCGATGCTGTGCGCAAAATCAATCCCAACACAGGAAACCTGATTTCAAGACAGCTAAAAGGACCAGACCACATGCCACTACAAGGTGTGTCCCAGAAGATGATGAAACCACCCGGATGACCTCACCCTTGGCTGGAAGGGCCTCAAAAGAGCTTCCAACCAACCAAGAGGGCTTGACCTGATGGGCCGGGGCATGCTGGGTCTGGTTCAGCTGGAGGCACAGCCTATGAAGGGTCTTCTCTGGAAGGAGGTTAGAGTCAGCACCACTTGCCAAACATATATGCGGGGAGAAGGGGGCAACCGTCTTGGAATCCTCAACCCTTCTGCTAGATTTCTGCAGATTTGCTACATCCCTAAACAGTCAAATAGAGAACTGAGAAATGAATTATAAGGCCCACTCCCAGCCCAGATATGATAGAGCGCTGTCTTGCAGCAAGTTTCAGCAGTGTGTAAGCATGAGAGCAGTAAGTGTCACAGTTTTGAAAGGAATCTACATAAATAACACCCAGAGGACCTCACAGAGTGAAACTGAGGGCAAATAATAAATGTTGACTACTTAGGAACTAGAAAGAAAGAGAAGAGAGGAGGTGCAAAGTGGCAGAGGAGGGAGGACAGACACAGGAGCTGTCACCTTCTAGGGTTTGCCTAACCTGATTTGGCAGGGAGTGGGGTAAGAGTTCTTAACAGCACAAAACTAGCCCCTAACCCACCAGTGCTCACTTCCTCCACGCTGAATAAAAGGCTGAAACCAGGGGTCCACAAGCAGCCGTGCAGAGGGTTGCTTGTCTGGAAGAGCAGATCTCACTGCTCACTGAGCAGTTATCCTGATGATCTGGGCTGGTCCAGTGTCAATGATAAAATTCCTGAGGGAGGTGTTTATCACCCAAGAAAAGCACAATTGTGCAAATGGGCAGGTCAGAGAGGCCCAGGGTTAGCCCATCTTATCATGAAGCTCATCTCCCCACATTTCAACTAACAAAATGGGCTCTCTAAGCTCTGCATGTGAGGAAAAGAACAGCAGCTTCTGCCCTTCATTCCAGGTGATGGGCAAGTGGCAAGCCACTCCCATCCTAGAACAGCATGGGGACTCAGCGCTTTGTAAAATGGAGCCTCACTATAGACAGCACTGGGTTTCTGTTGTAGGGACAGTAGTGGGCTGAGCCTGAGGCACTTCCCAGACAGCTGTGCCAGGCACAGTTGAGATAGCTCGTGGTGACACCACTGCCTTTCCTTCCAGTCCAGCTCAAGACTGCAGCAGCTCCATCCACTGTGATAAAATCTCTTTCATGTTATAGACAAAGTGCCTTTACAACTACCAATGGCTTCTTTGTGGATGGCAGTTTACTGCTGCTAGAGTAGTTAATATCCAGGTACTCCCACATGGCAGACTTGCTCCTAGCATACAGAGGTGGGTCACAACCAGCATTTGTTTTTCTGAACCGAGTAGAAGACAACACTTAGGAGCAGGACACATTTCTCTGCTGAAGGACTCACAATGAATGGGGATTTTTCAGAAGACATAGAGGACAGAAAGCAGCTCCCAAAGGACAATGCATACTTGATTCCAAGGTCAAAACCACCATTATGTATACATAACACTGTCCAGCTGTAGACTCTCAACTTGTCCTACAGGAAGTTGGATAAAAGAAGACTAGGGGCTAAAGGGCCTATTTGGCCACAAGGCACCAGCAGGGCCCCATGGCCACTGTGCTCTATTCAGATATTTACAGTCTGTCCCTGCAGTAGCTGCTACAATTTCATGTTCCTTTTGCAACATTATTTTTGTTTGTGAGACAAGGTTTCACCATGTATCTCAGTGTAGCCCTTTACCTCTCCATGAAGCCCAAACTAGCCTTGAACTCATAGCAACCGTTCCTTAGCCTCCAAAGGCATGATCACAGGCATGTATCACCATGCCCAGCAGTAACATCTATTTTTAAATACAAGCCTAGCTTTCCCATAGCCACAGCAAGGTTCAGTCACCACTGAGAGTTTGCAAAGCTCTACAAAACCAGAATGGCTCCATCTGGAAGAGCAGTGATAACTCAGAAGCCTCTCTCTCTTCCTGCCACTTCCTGCAGAGGCAGTATTTAGACACTTGCCAACAATCTTAAGGTAGCTGCTATCTCTTCAGCTGGATTCTAACATCTGCTCTCTTTAAATCCAATTAAGGCTTTTTATGGGAAACCAATTTGCATGATGCCCAGATCCTACCTCATTATCTCTGCCTTTGTTTCTGGTTCTTCCCTTGATTCCTCTAGGTGTGCCACATATCCCCTGTCCATAAACAACAGACGCTTTTACTCTCTCACACACGATGTTTGCACCTCTGATGCCATGCCTGAACTCTGACCCCTGACAGTGAGAGACCTAGGAAACCCATGCATGTGGTCCTCATACAGGCGGTACCATCTGGGCCTCTGATGGTTTCTGGGAACAGTACCTACCAGCTGAGTTGATAACAAAACTCATTCAAGCTAGTCCCTCATTATATTACAAGGTCTGCCTATGTAGTCACTCACTGCAGCAGCCATTTGTACTAACTGACCCAAAAGTTACAGTAAGAAAATAAGTTAGAGTCCTAAGTTCAGTTAGTACAGAAAATGCCTGCCACAGAGCTCACAGCATGCAATAGAGACACTGATGGTGCATGCTCCATTCTAGCAGTCAGCAGAAGAGGGAACACAATGTGTTAAAAAGATAAACATGCAGGAGGCTAGGATGTAAGGCTAGCCTGGGCAGACATGTCAGTTCTAGAAAATCAAACTGACTACCTCAGAGAGATCTACCTATTCCTGGGAAAAAAAGGAATTGCTCTTGCTTTCACAGAGAGACTTTGTGCAATGGGATAAACCACATCTATGATGACACTGTAAACAGAGCTCAGTAAAATGCATTGTTTTCCTGAGATGCTTACAAAACAGACGGAAGGATAATACACACAGCAAAGGTCACAGCAGTTCTATGAGATCAACACAGTATTGTCCAAGCACAGCATCCTCAGCACACAGCAAGCATTTGCCTAGCATTCAACAGAAGCCAAGCACTTCTCAGAATACTTTACACACAGTCATTCATCTATTTCTTCCTATGAACTCATGAAATAAATGCCATTTTTATTCCTGTTTTACAGATAAAGAACTACAGAGCAAGTAGATCATATGCTCAAGTTACTATGTGGTAAATTAGTATGCTTTCTGTTATTTGGGATTAATTCAGAGACAGCTCAACTATAAAATTTGGTTTTTGTATTATTTTATTGGCTGTGTGACTATTCTCACAGTTGGAAAGTGTCCTAGGGGAATAGCTAAACAAAGATGATTTGTCAATAATATGGACTACTTCCTTGCATCATTTAAAACTCGAGGTTCATATTTGTGCCTAACATAGAAATGCAAGATGGGTAGTGAACAAAGCAAGATACAAAAGTGGCCATAGCATGATGATGAAATGCAACAGAATTCCACAGCTATTTACATATGTATGGAAAACAAGAGAAACTTCCGCAGCCTTTTAGCAGTATTTTCTTCTGAGGGAAGGTAAGAGGCCAATGGGACTTTAGCCATAATAGTTGAGTTTCTTAAAAGTACTTTTTCTTGGACTGACAAGACAGCTCAGGGGGTACAAGTTCTTGCGAAGCCTACGTGGATCCACATGGTAAAAGGCAAGAACCCTGAATCTTGAAAGTTCTTTGCTCTCTCTATGTGCATGGATGATTGATAGATATAGACAGACAGACAGACAGACAGATGTCAATGGCCAAAACTGTTTGTTTCTAAATTGAGGTAGTTACCTAAACATATTGGAGGGAGAGGCAACATGTGATCTGTATGAAACTTGGGCTGTGCAAGAACCTTCCTATATCCCTTGCATTTTAACTAAGGAATGCCACAGTGAAACACACTAACTTCCTCATATCACAGAATTCAGTTGGAACAAGGAGTAAAGGATCTCTAAGATTTCTTATATGTTGGTCATCAAGAACTTGTAAAGTTTCACTCTCTAGTCAAAGACATGTCATGTTTGTCCCTTTTAAAGCATGACTCTTCAAAGACAGGGTAAAGGCTGGATGGACTCCATCCTTTAAAATTCAAATCCCAGGGGCTAGAGAGGTGGCTCATGGGTTAAAAGTAATTGCTGCTCTTGCAGAGGACCCAGGTTCATCTCTCTGCACCAATATCAAGAGGCTCACTACCTCTTGTAACTGCAGATCCAGATCTGCCACCCCTTTCTGGCCTCCACAGGTACCTTCATTCATGTGATACACAGGTTTGGGTAAAGACACTCACGTGTGCATGTAAAATAAAAATTTTAAATCTTTTCAAAATCAAAAAAAACTCAAATCTCTTGGAGGCAGATTACAAAACAAGAACAAGAGCTGTCAATTTCAACACCTTCCCTAAGCCTTGGGAGTCATGTTCCAAAGTCCCCAGGAACAGCAACAATACATTTCTTTGGCTTTTAAAGGTCATCTCATTTTCTGTAAGACTGGCTACCACCACTGGGGCTGAGCAGACCTAACAAAGACATAGCTTGAGTAATGGAGAGTGGGCTGTCTCTAAACACCAGTATGACAGGCTTTATGAAGATGTAGTACTAATGGATGGTGTTTTGTGTTTGGAGATTTTGGGGATGTATATTGATAGTTAATCAGTCTCAGCTATTAGAAGAGCATTCAAGGGATGGAAAGAAGCCCATGTGTGTCTAAGAGGGAGGTAACTGGCTATCAAGATCCAGCAGGGGTAGTACCTGAATAAGATGAATCTTGGATATATACAAGAGCACTAACCTAACATGCTTTAACATGTTTACCCCCTAAAAATTATATATTTACTTTTATATGTACTAGTGTTCTGTCTGTATGTCTATGCACCATGTGTACTTGGTCAGAAGTGGATGTCA